GGGGCCTACCTCGCTGCAAATTCAGTTCGAGACAGCGAGCCGACGAGTCAAGACCTCTCCAGAAGAAGAGGAGAGAGCCGTCGAAGAAGAAGAGACTCGCTCCTACGCCCTGCGCCGGTCAAGCCACGAGGACCGTGTGAACGCCATACTTGAAGCCTTCGTTATTTTCCTCGAACCAATCACAGCACCCGTTCCGCGACAGCCACTGCGGCAATACTCGAGCCACCACGTTTCAACGAGAGTAAGAAGTCTAAAAATCACACGTGGTGGCCGAAACCTGAGCGGTGGCCGTCCGGAATAACTACTTTGTGCTACACTGTACTATACCACAACGTGTGCATACTAATTGAATGCTTGATGTGTTCATGTATGGTGAAGGTTCAGGAATGTGTTCAGGTTGGAATATGAAGAAGCGTACAGTGTGTTGTTGGCATAACATCTCTATTTTTCTTTTTTGTTTCCTTTATTAAGCTGATGCTCTTGAAATACCATTTCAGCGTAACCTTAACTGAGGTGAGCTCACGGGGTCAGACCTGACGACATTGCTAACATTAACCCTAGCAAGAGCAGTGCTTTGCAGAATCTAACATTTAATACTAACGTTAAACATAAAATCTAACTTTTTAACTAGCCGACAACAACCTTGCGTTGTGGTCTTGAAAGCGATTTAATTTCCAGGACTCTGTTTACGTTTTTATACAAGCCACCGCTCCGTTAATAGTATTACATGTGTATTTAAATCACGCTAGTCTCAGAGTTACAATTAACTGGGTCAGTCAGATAGATGCTTTCCGAAAATAAATCAGCGCACTTCGTTGGCTTCGAGCCAGTTTCTGTTGTTTGAAACTTCACTGCTGCTCATCGAATGGGAGTAGACGCCTATATTAGTAGTCTTTGACATTCTGTGACACCAATTGACGGATTACGCGCTAATGAAGCTAGCAGTTCTCTTTTATTACAAACTAGCTGACCCGGCAGACTTCGTAGTGCCTCAACCTAAACTTTTGTATAAAATAAACTTTAAAAAAAAACAAAAGGAATCCGTCCGACGGGGGACACATCAAAGAAAAAAGAAAATTGTTTGTTTTTGTATAATTTCGAGCATTTTCATATTTATTCACCTTTTAAACCTTCTCTGGACTTCCACAAATAATTTAAGACCAAAATTAGCGAAATCGGTCCAGCCGTTTTCGAGTTTTAGTGAGACTAACGAACAGCAATTCATTTTTATATAGGTATACATATATAGAAGACTAGCAGAAACGACGGACATTGTTCTGTCGTGATAAAAATCTTGGAACCTGACGGCCGTACCGGATCGAATTATATATATTTTCTTGAAAACAGTCAAATGAACAAAGCAGTCGTTTTTAACCGACTTCAAAAAAGGAGGGGGTTCTCAATTCGACTGTATGTTTTATTTTTATGTTTGTTACCTCATAACATTTTGATGATTATTTTTTTATCAAAAAGCTAACGCTTCCCGTGTGGTCCCATTTCAATTTACTTCAATTAATGGTATCCATGAGAAAACCATATAAGTCTTAAATTTGCATTAAGTACGTGCGCAACAAATAGATGAATAACTCAATATTCACGCCAACCGATTTCGACGATTATTGTTTTTAGTGTATATTAATTTGTTTTGGAATAACCTTTTTTTTTCTATTTGAAGTCGGTTTTTGTTAAAGCATGTCTATTTACAATTATTATCTTCAGGGGTGTTTACGAAAATTACAATTTATGACGGGTTCGGTTTTAGTGTTTCCGTAAGACGTAATAATATGGAAGTTTAACACGATGAAAACCTTTGATCCAGACCAGGTTTACTGATGGAGCTGCGATAGACAGTTGTGCCTGCCTAATACCAGTACATATATGGTCCACTTCTAATTATCTATAACGCTAGTAAGAACACCGCGAATAATCAACAGATCCCGATAAAGTTGCCCAAAGTAATTGGTACGCAGCAGCTTGGTTGTGGTAACGTCTATTGGCGACGAAGTAGACATTCATCACCATACCACAAAATATTGCAGACAATGGGAAAAAAAACCATAAAAACCTTAATAATATGCTTAAAGGTTCTTATTCAAATAAGGTTCGAAGAGAGTCATTAGCGATAGGTGATGACATAACGTCGTTGTCAAACCAAAATCTGCTATGTGCACTTTTTGAGATTTTTACTTTTTGACTTTTTTGTATAGTTCACAGCCCTATCTACCGTACAAAAAAAACGGTTATGTATCCATAGCTTTAATATCTATCTATAGCTTTCATTTGATATACTTCTTAAAAATTCATCTTCATATAAAATTTTATACGGAAATGTTTTTACTCATTAATTCAAAATAGAGTTTTTGCACATAGCAGATTTTCGTACAACAGCGACGATAATCTGTCTTGGACTTAGCATCCAAGACCGATGGCGACTATGAGGTATTTACCTTCTAAAACAAGAAAAAATCCTAGCACAAGAAACAAAGACTACAGAATGTCTTTTTTTTTTTACACATAGAGGGCCAGGGCTTGGGCGAGATCCGTCTCCCTGGCCCCCGCTCGACGGCGGCGAGATTATGCGTCTCTCACGCGCCCCGCCGCGCCGCCTCCTTCTGCGAGATGGTGTCGCAGAAGTCGAGCATCGCCTTCCACGACTCATCGTCGCCGAGCATCGATGCCACAACAGAATGACGTAAACTCTATTTAAATAGATGTCATTAAGAATAAAAGACAGTTCATTCACCTCGAATGACTTACGTGACACTTCATGAAATTGAATCACTAATTATCTCGTATTATTAATATGGGCTACGAATATTTCAACTAGTTAAACCTAGCGGTGGCCGTGATATTTGTATATAATTTAAAAAAAGGCCGTATTAGTAAATAAATATTAAGATGCTCTACTTTTAATTATTTAAATGAAAATTGTTATAATACTTTTACTACAAGTTTTTCTAGAGCTTGTCGGTGTGCTTAGTATGAGATTTTATCTTCTCAATCGCGTAAAAGCTATCTCAAATTTTGCTGAGTTTGAACAGCGCCCCTAGCGGCAAACGTAGGGAAAGCACTGAAGATCGTTTGTTGAACCCCTATCTCAAGGTAGGTGGCGGCATTTACGTTGTAGACGATTATGGGCTCCGGTGACCACTTAACATCAGGTAGGCCGTGAGCTCGTCCACGCGACTAAGCAATAAAAAAAGGTCTCCAAAGTCCATGGACAGCATAACGTCCGTTGGTCAAGAGTGGGTGCCTTTAAATCGGAAAGGATAATTTCTTTGTAACAGAAATAAACAGGACACGATGTGGATGCATGTTCCGATAGGGTCTGATATTCTTTATTTTTTAATAATCATTTTTATTGAATTTGTTTTTACAGATGAATGTACAAGTTGTACAAGTTTACGGCCTCCCTATTTTTATATAACACTCTGAGATATTAAATGATATTCTTGATTATATGGTACAACGACCGTCCTTTTAGACCAAAACGCATGAAACATTAGCGGATAACGGATGGACAAATAGGCGGTATAGTGAGTGATACTTTCCACTTTAGGCCATAATCATTTATTTTAATATAGCCTCAATAAGCCTGCAAATCAATGAATTCCCCATTTCACAACAGATCTACTGTCCTGATACTATGAGCATTTATGTCGGTATTAGCGGAACAGTTCCATGAAGAAGAGCGAGCTATTTATTATTTTTAGCCTACACCAAACATATCTGGAATAGCAGCTGCCCTTTACAGATTCACAACGTATTAAACACTATTCAGGGTCAACGTGTAACGTTTTTATTTAATAACAGGCTGTTTGTGTGCTTATGTAATAAGGATTTAAAGCTTCTGCTCTGTTCTTGAATGAATTTCGTAGATTCTTCTTTATTGATCACCTAAGAATTCTCAAAATAGCCTCACTATTAAGGGCTATTTTTTTAAAAGTTTGACTGTTATTTTTTAAATTTTTAAACCTCGAAGCGTAATAGCAATTATTGCTTTCAGTGATAAAGATTGCAAGTCGAATGGGGGAGGAAGCTGGAACTCCATCACAAATATAGCCCGACTTCTTTGAAGCTTGACAAGAAAGCTCTTTACGGGTTCAGAAACAAAACGGAGGCTCTAAAACATAATAGTTCCTGTTTTAGTATGGTAGGCTAAAAATTAGGGTTTTTTTTTGGAATTGGCTTAGATTTGTTTTAGACAGCTGAAACCTCCTGAGCGGTCGCTATTAATATTGTTAAATGTATGAAAAATATCGATTTATAACTACTCGCGCCCGATCAATGTGTGTTTATCATCAACGTTCCTTGGAGTACAACAACTGTTTTCAACAATTTTTATCACAGTCTGTTGAATGGCTTAGGAATGCTACGATTCTCTAAAAACATAAACATTCAATTTTATTTATTTAGATTAAGCTTTAGCCAAGTCTCATTAAATTATAGATGATAAATAGCTATAATATATTAATACAATGTAGGGAATGTAAAAATATTAATTATAGTTACATTATATTAGGTGGAGTGTTGACTGAACCCTGATGGATTGTATGTACTAAACTTGTCGTCGAGTGTAGAAGCATTTTTATTTTACTGTTAAAATTTATTTATTAGTGAAAATTGAGTTATGTGTACTTTAGCGATCTTTCGATTAGTTACTTTAGCCAGAGCCTATTCTAGTTATACGTGTGCTTGATGTAGCAGTAGGCTTTAATAATTATAGTGTAATTTTTGAGGTGTTCGTTAATATTAGTTTGAAGCGTCAAGAATATCCGCTTCTGATTCATCAGGCAAAATCATTTTACCTTTAAAGCAATACGGCTGATTGCAAATAGATTTTAAGTTTTTTTTAAATCTAAATCTATCTGTTTTCTATTATTATGCTATTTACCAAAATCGCTGATATATTTTAACTAAACTGTCTACATATCTTTAAGCTATCTTATAGCTTATCTTTAAGCTATGAAGTATTTTTATTACAGGATAATATTACTTACATCTTCGGTGTGTTGTTCCTGCGGATCTTCCCACAACCTGGCACTGGAAACGTTTTTGAAGTCATTCAATGACGAATGAGCAATGTCCTTTTTGCCAAACTTCTTCCTCCTCTTGGGCGGCATAGGCAGGGTCTGTGATTGAATCGGAATGTTTTCCGGATACTGTATGACCTCGTCGTTAGCGTACTCGTGGATCGAATGTAAATCTGTGGCTGGAGTGAAGTCTAACCTGTTGACATCTAACTTATTTGTCTCGAAGCTCTCACTTGACATTGCACCATTCAGCTTACCTTCGACGTTATCAACTCGCATATCGAGATCCACCTCGCTGAACTGTAAGCTAGCATTGGCGCTTTCGTCAATATATGGAGTGGGCTCTTCTTCTTTCCTTTCTTTCTTTCGTTTAGCTCGTGATGGTCTCACTGGGGGGAATGTGTAGTATCCGTCGTCTTTGTCGTTGAGATCTTCACTTGAATACCTCATCATTTCGTTTTCGTCTATAAACTCTGATTCGACGTCATTCATATACAAATTGTCATGATTGACCTCCGTACTGCTTCCCATCAAAGCCAAAACGTTTTTCGGATTCTGAAACGCTTGGCGCGTCTCGTCGCTCAAGTATTCCCTTACTTGAATGTTTTCACGAGAAATCCCTCTCGGTCGTACGAAAAATTCGTCATTGTTTATTTCGGTTATGACTGGTGTGTATTCTTGTTTAGACGGTGATATATCTGGAGAAGATGAAGTGTTATGTATCTCTAAATTCGTTTCTTCCTGTTCCTCGTCCATGTATTCTGTGTCGACTTTGTCAAAATCGTATGTAGTCTCATACCTTCTTCTGTTATTGATATCCGTATTAAATTGATTGTCATCATTATTAACTCCGTACTCTCTTAGTTCCTCAGGGCTCTCGGGTACATACTTTCCTGGGTCTTCTTTGCTTTTCTTCATGAAGTTAAATGTGAACATCAGAGGGGGAGTGTCGTCCCGGTTCAATGTGGGAGAGGATGATGTTTTTTGAAGTTCAGACTTTTTCTTTCTATTGAATAGTCTAGGGTAAGTTTTAGCTTCGAAATCTACTGTTGCTACGTTAGCTACATCCGTTGTTGAGCTCGAAGTTTCGATTTTATCCTTTTTCCGTCCTAAACTAGGAAAATTAATTTTTGGTCGGTCAGGCATTTTAAATTTCGATAGATCCGGAACATTGAACTTAGGTCGGTCAGGTAAGGTAATGTTGAATTTTTTTAATTTTGGGCGTTCAGGTAATTTAAACTTTCTTTTATCTGGCGTAAGCTTTGGTCGATCCGGTAGTGACATTTTTGGTTTATCAGGCGTTTTAACTTTGGATCGCTCGGGTAGACTAAATCTAGGTCTTTCAGGCATAGACATGCGATTTGTTTTCATATTTTGTAACTTTGTTTTTAATTTTCCTGCTTGAGTTTTTAATTTACCAGTGCTTTCTCTAAAGCGTTGCTGTAGTTTGCTATCAGAACTATCAGGATTTTTCGAGCGGCTATCCCTTTTTAACGGTAATTGTTCTAAAGCGGACGAATCCACTTGACTTGTACTTATTTCACATTCTGTTCGAGACATTGTTGAAGGTGTGTTGACGAAGAATCTGTCTTCAATGTCTCGTTGTAAAGCTTCGGCGTTTAAAATATTTTCGTGTGTATCTTCGTGTGCACTGTCCTTGTCGTCAGGTGGTTCGTCTTCGTCGGACGTGTGTTGCAAAAGCTTTCTTTCCAGCGAAGTTGTACTCGACAAATCATCATCGACTTTAGTTCGCGGTGAAGCTTCATCCACGCTCGGTGCAGTGTAAACGATATTTGGTGGCGGCTTTTCTATAATTTCGTATTCGTGATCACTGAAAGCAATTTCGGCTATGTAATAAATAAATAAAAAATTTCGACGACCAACATAAATATTTTCAACGAAACCATTCGCTCAGCGCAAGCATAAATAAGAAAACTGCATAACGCAAATTTCACATTCGTCGCAAAAGATAGTAGTTATATTTAAACTTCACAGAGTCGAGTCACAATTAGGCCAACTGTCGGTGCTCGTTTTAGCCGCAGCCGCCGCCGGGTCGAAGTCGTGTTTCAAATATATTTGCCGCACATAATGTTAGTCATAAAATTACATTAAAACCGTCAAAATTTGCATGTAGGTGTGTGACTTACCTATCGTATGAAATAAAATTGCTCGCCCGCGATGTTGGTCTAGTGCCCACCGGATTAACTCGTTCCGGCAATAGCGAATCACATTGAAAATACTGACAAGCACACCGTACGTCTGGCGTGAACACTTGGGCGCTGCCTTCTCTTGTCGGTCTCAAGGGCTTTTCTATAGGCGTACCACCTTCCGATGTCCATCGCCGGAGCTTACTCATTACTACGGCCTACCGCAACCGTGCCATCTTTAAGGTTTCCGCACACCGTGTATTTTGTCATGCGGACAATGAATCATTAGGCGTGCTTGTCAAAGCCGGTCGGTGAATGTACTAATCACAGACGTGAAAGCAGCCGCGACCACTGATCACTGATGACAATTTTAAAGAGCTTACCGAATGGGCAGGAAGACCGGCCGTGTAGCTATATTTATCAAACAGTCAGAACTAAGCGCGTTCGCTCTGCATGTGTTATGTCATTGTTACGTATTTCGTAAAAGAGAAAAAATAAAATTTACCTGCTTTGTTTAGACCATTTCCTGTTGATAAATTTGATGTCCTTGTCCTTTACGTTACATTGCGGGCTGGGGCTTGGCGACGTTTCGATTGGAGCCGCTACATGATGTCCTGAATCTCCGCTACCATCTACATCGTCGTCTGTAATTTCTGTTATAGTTATATTGGGGGACTCATTGTTTCTTCTGGTTTCGTCGAGTTGATTTTGAAATATTTCGTCGACATTCGGTTCGTCTGGATCCATCTCCTCATCTAAAAGAACTGCTTCTTTATTTTTTTCGTCTTGTTTATGTAGTTTTTCCATGACGCGTTCACCCGATTTTAACGAAACATTATCCGTTATTAAGCTCGGATCTAGCGAAGCGATTGATTTCTTTTCGGCAATGCTATCGTTTTCTTTATTGCTTACGCTTTTACTTTCATCGTCGGCCTTGGTAGAAATTTGCTTGTCTACGTCCTTAGAAAAGTGTAGCGACTTTTCGTTGTCTTGTTTTGATTCTTCAATATCTTCATAAATATGTTCTTTTTTTTTTCTAGGTGGCGGTGTGTCAATACTCATCGTTTTGCTCATTTCATCAGAATCACCTAGTTTCATTGCGCTGAATTTTTGTCTTCTGACGGCTCCCGGAGAATGCCTTAACTGTCTTATCTCTTGTGTATTTTCATTCTTCTTTCGTTTGGAGAGAGGGGATTTTTCTAAATCACTCCTATCTAATTTGTGTAATGTTTTGTCTGCTAAGTGCTTTATTTTGTTAACAAGAGGATGGCAACACTTCGTTTTTTCACGTGTTTCAGTTACACCTATGTATTGATCTGGTACTCGGCGTTTCAATATTCCCTTCGGAGAAACATTTAATTTAGGAATTTCTACAGGTGACATTAATTGTACACTACTCTGACTCTCTGGCCTTTGCACAATGTAAGTGCTTAAAACCGGGCCAGGAATGTCTTCTTCATCCAGAGACACTTCTTTAGAAAAATTAGGGATGTGAACCCCTTCGTCCTCACCTTCATCGCCATGTTTTCGGCTGCTTCCCGGTGAAGAGTCAAGGTTTAGAATTTTCTGAATGTCACTGTCAACTGGCGAATGCGTTCGCGACCTTGAAAACTCTCGTGACATACTTCTTCTGGGAGTAGTCTCCCTTATTATATCCTCAGCGGTAACTTCGCCCTCGAGTGGCGGCTTCAGTAAATGAGTCCAGGGGTAAGCGCCAACTTCACGAGCTCTTTTTAAATCTTCCCATTGGTACGTTTTAATCGGCACGGGCGGTGTGTCTTTCTCTTGATCTGGTGACAATTCAGATTCCATATGTTTAACTGCGGTTAAAGTTTTAATAAATATTTACACGTTGTTAAAACTTCCGGGACGACCTTCATGGAATTTATTTTGTATATATATATATTTATTTAAAACACGGGCCCAGCGGAATTCACTTCATCACCGTGTAAACTAAGAACACAACATTTCGGCTCAATGTGAGCATCAGTGACTGAAAACACGTTATGTTTGCGTGGGCCAGTGTGGAAATAGGTGTGAATAAGTTGTGTACTATGAACGCTGGATGTCGGATTATTTTGGAGCGGTGCACCGCAGTTACCTTGAGGCAGTCGGACCACTTCGTATCATCAGGCCATCTCTGGTGTTTACGTGCTGCGCTATGATGAACTAGACATTTAATTAATGAGAAAACTAACGGCGATCGGCACAAAATCCCGGTTCAACTGACCGACACCTCGGAGTACGGCCAGGCGCGCTAAATATAAGATCGAGAGTGAATTTATTTTCGGTAAGCATTAAGCGTCATCAGTTAAAAGAATTGGCTGATAATAAGGGAGCTTAGCTGTCGAGGGCTTATTTATTAGAACGGTTGCCATTTACTTCTACTAATAGAATAGAATACTAGAGCTAAGCTAAAGATCTTCTATCGGTTAGTATTTAATAAAATAAATGTAAGCACTAATGACTTACCGTGCGTTCCTTGAATGAGATCCAAATTGTCTGTAGCGTCTTTGAGAACTGGAATCGTGACTGCTTCATTTAGGAGCGTATTTATTTTTGTTTTGCGTTTGTGCGTAGTATATGAAAATTGAATTGAAAATGTTTATGCTGTGTCAGGCACAACGCGTTTCTATGGGATTAAAACGACAATTACTAAATGTTAGCTTTTAGATGTATTCAGATTTGAACTATAAAGAACAAGATTTGGATTTATAAAAACAGTGCATATTTCACAACTCTTAAGTTTCTTTATTTCTATTTATATCATGTCGTGGATAACTTACCAAAACAATAAAAAAACAAAACAAACTCAGCGCATTGCTTGCTTTATGAAAATACTGAAATATTTCAAATAATTGAAAATTCTGATTTCTTTTATTACCTACGTACCTACCTGCTAATACTGAATTTAAAAATTAAATATGTTGTCATATAAATGTCTTATAAAAAGAGTAACAACAAAATGTATGTACGAATAGCGTTAAAATACATAATTTAATGGATTGTTGATTATAGTTTTAATAAATATTAATAAAGCAATGCGTATAGCGCGCTCTGTTTTTTAATTGTGGAACAAAGCTATTGATGCAGTTCTGCGTGAAACTACTAGATGGCGCTTAAACAAAAGTTATAATGATACATTCTTGTCACATTATTTTTGTGATTTTATCTTTATCTAGATTGTGGCCAGAATTCGTCAGTGGACTAGATTTAAAGAACTGCTACGACTGTCCACTGAAGCCATTAAAACATTTCCGGTTGTTTTTATACATTATAATCAAAATTTTCGTTCAGAGTACTTACTATCAATATTTATTCGTGCCGAGACACAGTTCTAACATTCACAGCTAATCTATTATCAAGACATGGATCTAACTTGAATTGGTCATATATTTTGTGTTGGCATATACTTTTCCCTGATCAAGCCGTTTGTTTTTTATTGTTTCTTTATTGCTTAGACGAATGAACGAGCTTAAGTCGAACGAGCTTAGGTGGTTGGTTGGTGGTTAGGCCAGGCGTGATTGGATCTACTCGTGTAGGCTAACAAGACGGCTTACTATCAGCAATTTTGTAAGATAGATTTTTTTCAGGTTCCATTTTTATTAGACGATGTTTTGTTCCTTCATCGTAGTCATTCGTGAACACGTTTTAAATACGTATTTCATTACAAAAAAAGTTATCTGTTAGCGGGATTCGAACACGGGCGCCGTGATCTGATGACCCGGTACGATTACACCAGGCATATTAACCTTTACGAGGCTACGACGACTTCTTAAATGATCCTTCAGCTAATACGTAGTTACGTGTGTGATTTGTATCTAATTATTAAATACGTATTTGTTTTTTTACGTTATTCATATTTATAATTCAATAGATTGTACTTTTTATTTGGGATTATTGCGTATCCAGTTTCTTGAATTCCTTTAATTTGATTTATATTCACGAGTGCTCACCGTTGAAAGTCTTTCAATGATACTATAACTATATATAATCCTCTACACGTTGTACTTTGCATAAAGAACCGATGTTCCAAATTTTATTATTCAAAATGGGAGCAATTTCTAAGCTAGTAAAGTGGCTAAATAAATGACTAGAATTCGTCAAAATACTTTATTTTGTTACCATCTGACTGTATAAGCAGACCGAAAAATATCCGAGAAAAAGGTAAATAAATGAAGGCATTTTAATATAAAATTCAAAACTTTAATACGTTTAACATTTAACATTTTCAATCGTGAACTATCTAAATTAAAATTAATACTTAACATGTATCGAGAAATTTCTTTACAATATGTACATTGTTTAAAGAATGTTTTCTTAATGACTGTACATATTTTTTTTTTACAATTATATCAATTCAAAATACTGCTAAATATTTGGTAATAACAAAACGATGTTAACAATTAATTTCCAAGAATCACACAACACTGTGTGTCAACATCCATCATAGTTAATTTTTACATTAAATTTTTCTGTTTCGTAACAGCATATATTCGACCAATTTGATTAACGCTCGTGCTTAACATGTACAAAGTATTTAAGCATATGTAATCTAGTTAGCACGCAATATATTACAGACCCGATCCTGTAGACCGAATGGTAAACAGTCGACGTCGCCCTAAGCACGCCACTACGGATCCTCCCGATCCATTAACGGTGTTTTTAGGTACCACAAGCACCGATCACCGTCCTCGTCGAACCCGTCGCTTGCCACGAACTGCTTGACGAGTTAACCCACAGACAAAGCCCACTGAGTTTCTCGTCGGATCTTATCAGTGGGTCGCGTTTCCGATCCGGTGGTAGATTCTGCGAAGAGCTGCTCTTGCTAGGGCCAGTGTTAGCAACATTTCCGGTTTGAGTCCCGTGAGCTCATCTACATAATATCCTCTCAAGGCTATCAGCTATAGTTAGGAAAAAAAAAGGAAAAATAAATGCAATATAATTGCATAATTATGGAACGTAGGAAGCTATCCCAATCATGCGAATATTATTTTCTCTAGAAAAATAACCGTATAAGTATAGAATATACCGAATAGTATTTTTCCATTTTAAATTTTTCTTTCTTTTCATTTTCGTCGTTTTGTTGGTCTAAAAAACCGTAACTTTGAGCAGCCATTCAGGTTGCATATTTTACTGCTAATATGCGGCGACTTGGTAATGTCCATGAGCGACAGTGACCACTTACCAGCAGTTGAGCTAAATGCTTGTTTGCCTATAATGGCAAAAGAACTCATTAGTAGAACATCTAACCAATCGAATTTTTGTTGAAATTTCAGAGTATTTCTTCTTCAAGCCATGTCCACCCAATGCTGAGTGTAGGTCTATCGAAATTCTTTAATGGTGGTAAAGCCTCTTGTGAGTCCGCACGGGTAGATATACCACCACCCTGTCTATTTCTGCCTTGAAGCAGTAATGCAGTTTGGTTTGAAGGTTGGGACAGCCACTATACTGAGACCTTAGAACTCATATCTAAGATGGGTGGAGGCATTTACGTTGTAGATGTCTACGGGCTCCGGTAACCACTTAACACCAGATGGGCTGCGAGCTCGTCCACCCATCTAAGCAATAAAAAAATACCCTCAATTAATTTCACTAAACATGTCTAATACTGCTCAACACTTTAATTTCCATAAAAGTTAATTAGAACCTAGTGCATTTTTATTTCAGCAAAAAAAAATTTTACACTATTTTTATTTTAAGTGCCTCTTACGTATGGCGCTGTGAACACCTTAAATATAATAGCGTCAATTACATACTCTTATGCAGCCTACCATAGCCGAAAACGATTACCCATCTGCTCTCTTACTAAAAAATAGTTTTACATATTACATATTAATTGAATTTATATGCTTATGTAATAATATGTACATAGATACATGTTCTTGTAATAAATATATTTTACAAGTATTAAATATATATTAATTTTTATCACCTCGATTTAGTGTCAAAACACGCACATGGTACTATTTTCTTAGGCTAATATTTCATATTATACATTTTCGCTATTATTTTAACAAAATGTAATTATCTACACATTATATTTACACGATAATTACTAAGCTTTCTGAGATTACCAATAAGCATATGAATTAATATAGTTCATCTTATAAGTATATATCTAATATAGTATATCTTTTTAGGTAATATAATAATATAATTTCCTAAAGAATCAATTCCGTCACGCATACCTTTAAAAATTTAACTTCAATAATAATTAAATTTTTATATGTACATACATATTTCCATATAAAATTTTATACTAATATTTAACTAAATGTTTTCACGTTGTCAAACTTTAAAAATGATAATAATATACTTGCTATTAATAAAATTATAACTACCTTTCTTGGTTTTCTTAAATATCGTAGGTACCCCTATTATTGAACGAAAAATCGTCTTTTAACAACAAATTCCATACAGAATTTAGAATAATAAGAAATACATCTATAATAATAAATATATAAATACATACGGCGCAAATTTTGAAACCCTTCTAATATGTAAATAATATTATATAATTTATTATTTATGGCTTTAATAATATTTCGCGACTGTCACTTATTTATACAGATAAAATAATAGATTATCGCGGGAAAGCTGTCAAGCTTGACAGACTAGGTATATGACAAATAAATGCACATGTAATTTCTCGGCTGGCTTTTGAGTTATTTGTTTCACCAGAACCGTCTTTAAGTTAAGAATCTTGGTATATTATAATAGAACAATTAAAGTTAATATTATAACAAGACAAATCATTGTTGGAAATATTCCCATTGTTTACAACTGATCAATTTCTATTATTTTTTTTTGCACTATCTTTACAGATTAACTCAGGGGCTATCTAGTGTTTTAAAAAGTGTATATTTGTTTTTATGGACTATGAAAACATAATGCAGATGCCGTCACGCAACTTATGAAGTTAGTCTTCGTTGCAATGTATGATAGAAGTCCCATCATTCGTTTTACTTCTCCGAGACAGTAATATTTAGGATGGTGGAACGTACCTCTACAGACCCACAATTCCCTCCTAATACCACTAAATACTCATTTCCTTATTAATTTTAGGTTGTTTTTTAATACACGTTCTTATGTTTTTATTTTGGAGGTCATTCGTGGCCACGTGTTCGTATGCACTTAGATAAATTAGTATCGATGTCAGTATTTCAGAGAGATTACTTTATATTATATGATACTTTATATTGATATTATAAAGTAATATACTTTAAATTACATTACCTCCTACGCCTTAATGGTGCTATGTAGGAGCTATGCGTCACATAGTCATCGGAAGCCTAGAGTGGCCAATTGAAAAATGAGATTTTCACTGAGATTACTAGACCATGGATTTTAGGACTCATTCTATGAACTAGTATCATTGAAGGGTTTTATGTTTCTTTTATGATGTTTTAGCTCTGTGTTTGTTTTTTAAACGATCAGATGTTATCGTATATTTATTTCAGTCTACCATTTTGGGCATTTCACAGTAAATGTTATGGGCTCACTATCTCTTTCGTCTTAAACCACTCACAATAATATGAAGAAAAATTTTGAGATTAAAAAAATCTTTATAGAAAACTATCTTTGTAGAAATGAAAGGCTAAGTTTGTTTCTATATTTGAATTAACCATTTATCTCTTCATTCTTGTATAAATACGTGCAATCAATGATTTTTATACAGATACATATACCTGTTTATATATATAAAATATAATTATATACATACGTATGACATTATAAATATACAAATACAATACAAGTATATACTGACATAATATATTTTAAGTTTTATCTTGTTCTGTATTAAGATTTCAGTTTTTTTTTAGGTAATGCCTGAGAAATTTTCTAAAATTTTCATTAATAATATACTATTTATCAAGAGTAGGCTAATTTCAAATGATTACATTAGTTACCTATTTACTGGTCCTAGATGTTATTGGAAGCCGGCACGTGTGAGTACCACAAGCGTGCTTACTTTGGCCGCGGAATAGTCTGGCGTCGCGGTCTGGAGAACGGTAAAGCTGTTCCAATATAATTGAGACTTGGAGCTCATATTTGATTTCTCACATCGTGATGTCTATGGACTCTGTTCATGCGTTCACCAATATAAGTACATAAAAAAATATTTTTTATGGATTTCTGTTTTTGTTCCAAAATCTGGACTCTTAAAGTTTTGTTTTAGATTTCCATCGTCAAGAACCCTTCAGCTGCTGAAACCTGATCACACGAAGGTCAAGAATGATATAAAATAATTGAATACACCGTTGATGCCTCAGCCCCATTCCCCGATGATACCTTGTTTCCCAAACACCTTATATTATATATTTTACACATTTATAGTACATAATATTTTATCTTGTATTTATTACTCTAAAATATACATGATTTACAAAAAAATTATTACTATACCAGGACTAAGAATTAAATACTATAGTATAATAATATATAAGTATAATTATAATAGGATACATTATTTTGGGTATAAAATTAATTACACATTTAATTAATTAAGTACATTTAATTATATATGTTCATTTTATAATGGTATTTAATAATATAAAACATTTAAATGCATGAAAAAATGTTTTATACAAAAGGGACACCTATCACTAGTCTTTGTTCGTAGAATCTTTGATTTATAGATTTTCGCATTACGAGTAAAATAATGTAAAATCACCAACACAGGGTTTTCTTATTACAAAGCGTGCCGATGTGTCCATAGTGTCACTCCAGCTAAGCCCGCAGTGGGTTGCCTATGAGCATATCGTGATTCAAACATTTAAAGAGTTTTCCTGGTTATTCATTGCTATTTGGCGACGTCTTGATATTACGTTGCTATAGAATAACAACTGTTGCTATGGACTTCTATTTTAAGCCACAGAAGGTAATGAAGATTTCGTTTTGGTATAGAATATTTAACGAATTTAGGGACATTCCTGTTACTTATCTTTAATTACAAAAGGGAAGATGCTTCACTGAGCAATACGCAATAAGGTATAATTTTGTACAAAATAATTTTGATAAAACTGTAGGTTTTTCTTAAATAGATTCAGATGCTCGTGAGTTCTTTGATAAAAGAAGCTATTTCACGTATTCGTCACGTTTTGATGAACAGCTGTTGCCGGATCTTCGAAAAAGGGTCCGATTGTTCCGTGCTGCTGTGTAATGTCTTTGGAATTCACTGGTATAGTTTTGTATGAAATATATATTTAGCAATAAAAAGTCGTAAATACAATACAAATCGAAAGTTGACTAAAGGTCACGTTTCGAACTAATTTTTTCTAGTTACTGGGGACCATTAAATGACGGGTCGTTGAAATGTTGTTGAACCTGAAAACGTGAAAGAAAATGAGTAAAATTTTGATATAAAAATGATATAGGGTAATTGAAATGCGTTGTTAGCTAAAAAAAATAGCTTAATTGTTTCCCTTTAGTTAATAACCCTATAAAATAAACAAATAATAATGCTTTTTTTCTAAACATTTTCATCGAACTGTTCACGATGATGCACTTCAAGGAAAATAATCTTATTTCATAATAGTAGCAAATATAAAGGTATATCCATTGATGAAGAGCATAATGTTTATAGCAGAATAAGGAAATGCTTGGCTGTTACAGCCTAAGGAGCTAATTTATAAGTCTCGTCATCTGGAAGTCTTACATCTCTACCTATAGGTCTGTTTTAAACAAACAATGACTTTGGGGTATAGTTATCTGTGTCTTCTACGGGTTTCATCTTCTAAGCGATAATTACGCATCTTCTGCTGTCACAAATTGAAATACCTGTAAGCATTTAGCCAAATCAAATATGATGTGCTTTAGACGCGTGTGTTCCAGTAGATCTTCTGGTAGAGGAGGCGAACACCGAGGCCAATAGTTTCTGGAGCGGAACGACCGGTGCATTCTGATCGACATCTCACAGAATATGTAACGGAATATCATCAGACGTAGGAAGTCATCGCCCAGGAAATGTAGATACATTATATCTAGAGACATAAGAAGTCAGTTTTCAGTTGTTATTCGCTTAGTCTCTAGTCTTAAAGTAATTGAAAAACTGAATGAGAGGTGACAGAATTTGCGTCGCCGATGTCCGTGAGGTTTGTTAACCGTTTAGCATCAGGTAGGCTGTGAATTTGTTAGCCCGCCTAAGCAATAAAAGATAATCGAGGATACAGTCTTGATAGATGGATTTCCTTCCACGGTGTTGTTTGATCGCTTTGAGCGATGCTTATAATAGAGAGACATTTAGAGTCCTCAATGGGAACAGCCGGTGAGCATGAGCGACAAAGCGACAACTCACCAAAAGGTGGGCTGTGTACTAGCAACAACAAAAAAATGGGGTGAGCCCAACTTCCAAATAGAGCACAATTTCCACTACAATTTTTGACTGGTGGTAGGACCTCTTGTGAGTCCGCACGGGTAGGTACCACCACCCCGCCTCTTTCTGCCGTGAAGCAGTAATGCGTTTCAGTTTGAAGGGTGAGGCAGCCGTTGTAACTAAACTTGAGACCTCTGAACTTATATCTCAAGGTGGGTGGCGCATTTAAGTTATAGATGTCTATCAGTAACCACTTAACACCAGGTGGGCTGTCCATAGAAAGTTTGAATTTTTAATACGCATTTCAAGGTTCTGCTATTACAAAAAATATACTTTTTCGTGTCGCAAATGTGGGCAGAGAGTAAATTTGATTGCATATTGTAGTTGACGGTAACACTTGATATGAAGGCAAGGTTAATAATAAATAAATTAAAATATTGGAAAAATATAAGAAAATACGTGTTTAACACTCACCAACACGACCCCTAAGGATGATCTGAGATAATTCGTTCATGAAGTCCTCAAGGTGTAGCTGAGATCGTTCCCATTGACTCAATGAGACAGAGAAAAGTTCAGTGATAAAAGAAAATCCAGTAAAAGGACAACTCATGAATAAAGTAAACATGTTTCCTTGCCTTTTGCGTTCTGTTGGCAAACGAAATATGAATTAAAATTCTGTCTAATGTAAGTGAATTAGTTAATTAACTTCACGGCCGGATTGTGAGACCGGACGGATAGATTCGAATGTTTTGGCTATTTTAGCGAAGCTGGTTATGGCGAAGCTATTACTGGTGGTAGGATCTCTTGTGAGTTCGCAGAGATAGGTACCACCACCCCGCCTATTTCTGCCGTGAAGCAGTAATGCGTTTCGGTTTGAAGGGTGGGGCAGCCGTTGTAACTATACTGAGACCTTAGAACTTATATCTCAAGGTGGGTGGCGCATTTACGTTGTAGATGTCCATGGGTTCCAGTAACCACTAAACACCAGTTGGGCTGTGAGCGCGTCCACCCAAATAAGCAATAAATAAAAAATAAGAATCGTGGATGATTACATAGAGATGATTGACTTACCCAAATAATTTGAAGGCATTTTGACCGGGGATGTTAGGATGACAAGAGGTTGACCGAAGCTCCCTCCGACGCTTAGAAACGCGCCGGAGTTATCGGAGTCAACGATAACAACCAGCGGGCGTCTAGTAAATGCGTATAAATCGGCGGGGTAGAGGCAGTTCGCCTCCTTTGTTTTTCCATGTGAACTTCTGTGATGATCTTTGTCAGATTGTCGATATACCTCCGTTTTGGACGATGTCAATACTCCTCCACGATCATAGCCCTCTGTTAGTCGAATAGAAATTGAAGTAATTGTGTATTTTAATAGGAACCTCACGTTACATTACGTCAATTATAATAATATCACCAAAGGAGTAACGACAAGAATTTTAATATTGGAAGCATTTGAAATTGAGAATTTCCGGTTATGATTTTGTATCTAAATAAATTAAAGCTACTATAACAATTATTAAGATAACTTTTTTTTTCCAAAAACCATAAATTGTGATCGGGACTCTGACAAAACATACAATAACTACACAATTGAATTCTTTTTTTTTTGAATAGGAGTGAGTTTTGTAGTCTTTAATATGCTTTTTCTATTAATAATTAAATAAATGTTTTTATTATTATTATTATTTAAAACTTTTTTTTTATTTTTTCTTAGAACAATCTTATATGCACGTTAAATATAATACACGTTAACAAAACTTTATAAATGTCTTTTACAGCAATCTCTATCGTTGTTCTTTCAAATGAAAGCTCACCTTCTATAACGTCTTTTGGTGAAGACGAGAAATGGCCGTCGGCGGATATGTAAAGTAGCAGACCACCTCCGGGTGCTAAGTCATTACAAGCACTAGCCAGGTAGGTGAGCACCTGAGTCGGAGTCGGTTGATATAACAGGTACTTGTGCGGGTTATCCCGCACCGTACTCTCCTCAGGTTCGGTATCATTTTCTACTGTAACAATGCAGACGGAATTTTTAAACAGATAAAACAACAATAGATAGCTCAATTCGCTGCTGCAGTAGGGGCTTTAACTACTGGATCGAGGACCGCAGATTCGATTCACGTATCGGGAAACATTAGGCTTTTTTTCTCCTAAATGGGTGGTCGAGCTCGCAGCCCACCTGGTGTTAAGTGGTTACTGGAGCCCATAGACATCTACAACGTAAATGCGCCACCCACCTTGAGATATAAGTTCTAAGGTTTCAGTATAGTTACAACGGCTGCCCCACCCTTCCAACCGAAATGCATTACTGCTTCACGGCAAAAATAGACAGGGTGGTGGTACCTACTCGCACGGACTCGCAAGAGGTCCTATCACCAGTAAAGATGATGAGATGAAAGTGTGATGATAAAGCTTATGTCTGTCTATATATAATTAAAAGTATGTTCATATACATGTATTTTCCGGTTCTCATAGTACAATTAATTCTATTTTTGGGCCAAGCGATCGTGCTATTTATTTACCAGGGTAATTAATAGCATGTCGTTAATCGTATCTATATGTATTTTCAGTATACTATAAGCGCTTCGTACAGAGTAGTGAACGTAAAAATTTCGCGTCAGGCCATATTCGCCTAGTCGATGAAGATCAATTTCGCTCTGAAGCACACGAAAGCCTATTCTATTTATTAGATTGCATATAATTCTATAGGTCAGATTCGTTTAGAATCTATTACATTCAAACTTAATATCCTTGGAAGGTTCAGGATGGAAATATGATGATCGCAATTAAATGGTTTTTTTTGGAACATGAATTATGTGTTGTCAACAAAAATATATGTAAAAATAACAGATTATTAACAAGAGTGCGAGATAGGCAGATCTCTCTTTTACTTATCGTCATGAGATTTCGATAAAAATTTTAATTGTATTCGTCACTGCGCGTGTTTGTTGAGTGGGATAGCTCTCGCGCAATACAACTGAGATTTCAACCTTACATCTCAAAATGGATGACGGTATAGATGTTGTGGTGTTTACAAAGTCCGTTGGCGATTTGGTCCGTGAGTCGGTCTAGCAATTTATTCCCAAAGCCGACAACCACAAAGTCGATACAACTGAATCTAAAATATTGATTGTGTTAATCGAATTAACGATCCCAAATAAGCTTTTCACTCGCCGCAGAAATAGGCAAACTTAAAAAGCATCTAACGCCACTTATTTTTGGGGATTTCATATTTACAAACTGATATGAGAATAAATTCGCTCGCGCAGTGAATTAAATTTAGACAGTCAAATCGCAAATTTGCATGAAATTTTCCTGCTTGGATATAAAGTAGAAAATCGAACAATTTTTTGTTTTGAAGCGATTTAAATAGAATTTGCGCTTCGAGGGTTTTATTGAATTTATCGAATCTTACGATTTATTTTAAAATATTAATTTAAGTTTCATTGTTAAAAACATCGTTGTCAATTAAAGTAACGCATATTGTTATTTTGTTATGCCAGAAGCAATTGATGTACGTTGGCGGCGCAGTTTAAAATGTTTTCATGGGATACACATATTTTCCCAAATTGAATTTATTATCATATTATATTTGATTTGCATGGATTTTCATTTCAACTTTCCAATAATTATTTAAGCTTAATTATGTAACTTTATCACGTAGATCTAGGAATTCTGATTTACGATTTGTTCAATTTGTGATTGGATAGAGCCCGTTCATTGCATTTATGTTTCACAGTAAAAACGTGTTGCTCTTTAATAACTCCAACGTTTATTAAATAAGTTTATTGGAAATATGCCATAATGCGGCACGTTGCACGTGTTTTATGTAAAATTGATTGGAATTTTAGAAAAAAAAGGAGGATATGTATGCGCAGCCAATATACTTTTTTCTGCTATTATTCTTAATGTAAACTTACCTCTTGGTAGATTTGGCGTTGTTAAGTGCCGTTTTCTATGTGATTCTTCATAATTTCGTGATACTCGATCAGCAGTAGTCTCCCGTTCCAGGGTCTGTAAGATCCGGAACATATCCAAAGACAATTCCGAAAATTTCGCTTGATCCTCAGTACTTCCGATTATTATAATTTCTTGCAAGTATATATTCATAATTGGCGAACGCTCTATAGTTGTTTTGTTGTATTCGTTGAGCCTTAAAATAATATCGCGGAGTATTGAGACGAAAAGGTTCGTTAATTAAACGTAGAAGAGATAATATTTTCGATTCTCGAGCATGCATACATACCTATGCGAGAGAACCACCGTGTAGCTATCTGGATGAACAACCGATACGATCACCTCTAACTGAATGAAAGCTTTTATTTCGTCCAGCACTATAACCCACTCTAGATGGTCGTCCGGATCGTAAGCCTGCCCATAATCCCTTATTAATATTTCAAGATCTTTAGTAAGCTCGATCACGAGCTTCATCTTCTTAAGCAGTAGACATACTACAATAAATCTTGCGTAGTACCGCAACTTTTTGACAACTAGCTCGCTTTTATCAAGCTTACAAGCTTGCGTGTAATAACTTCGTCCGCGTATTGCAGAGTAAAACGAGCAGGCTTCACTGAGATAAGCCGTTTCACTGGTGCGGAGACTAAAATTAAAATATACATTAGAAAATCAATACATACGTAATGTTAAGCAATAAACACATTTATACGACCACTTACTAGAAATGATAATAGAGTTGTCCTATTTTCGAAGCGATTTCTCCGATTTGCCATCTTTTGAGGCCGTATCTAGTGTCAAGTATTGCTCTGTGTTCCTGCTGATATTTCCACAGTTTCGTGTATACGTCAAAAGTGCGTTCGAAATATGGATGCCAGCATTTGTGACCGTACAACGGGAGCTCCCTTTGCAAGCAAAACACCACGATTATTATTGTGAAATATATGTCTATACTAATATTATAAAGAGGAAAGATTTGTTTGTTTGTTTGTATTGAATAGGCTCCGAAACTACTGAATCGATTTATTCCCGAGTGACATAGGCATATTTTTTGAAAAAAATTAAGGATCCTTACTAAAACTCCAATAATGTAATCCAAGGTGTAAAAAAATTACCTAAAATATTTTTTACATCGCGTGCCCTACGAAAACTATTGATGATAGAATAAAATAATGTACTACGACTTTGTAGAACACGTTATTATTTTCAAACAGTGTCCCGACAGCATATGTCCAACTATTATAGTTATGCCGCAATAAGTGTTCTTTTATTGAAAAAAATAAAACAACGTAAAATATCGTTGAAATTTTTGTTAAAGACCGGAGCGGAGCGGGAGCGGACCGCTAGTAATCTATATATTAATACGTGAAGCAAAAACTTTGTACCCGTTTTTTCCGAAAATTGCGCTGACGGAGGAGTATAAAATTTCCCACGCTTATAAAGAATATAGAGAAGGAGTGTAGAATGTTAATATTTATTTAAATTATGCATAAAATACAATAAATCAATAAAAAAACAGATACGTGTTTGACACACACACGCATGCATACTTTTTTGCTTTGCTTATAGTCTGCCAAATAGAGAATAGATTAAATATTGTTTGTCTTAATTAATATTTGTCTAAGGTGTAGTCTTGGCGAAATCTGTGGTTATAGAAGTATAATAGTCTTACTTATAATTTCAGCGGGGGACCACTAGCTTAAGTTAATAATTTGTTAGCTATGAGCGTCAACCGTTTTAAGAGGATTGGAGTCAAAGCAAGGAAGCGTTTATTTTACGTTTTTCGCAAAACTAGATGTAAGTTGAAGTTAATTGTGTTCAAAATTGCTTGAGGCTTCCAATCTGTAAGTTGGGTATGAGCAGCTGTTTCATGGAATCGCCTCAGTTGTAAACTAATATAAAAAAAAAAAAAAACTATATATTTGCACTTCTTTAACTATTTTGGATCTATTTGGATACTTATCTGATTTGACCTTTTTTTTTGTTAAATTAAAATAAACTTGTTGTATAAAGAGCTCGGCTCAAAGGATACCCTACTTTTATTTAACTATTATCAGATGGTCGAAGTAGAATAAAATGAAATTCATAAAAGGCTGGCTCAGTGTAGATTTTGTGACATTACAAGAAACAAGTTTTTAGGTATGCTTCAGTTTTCAACTGAAAATGGGATTGGACTGTAAAGGTATGTATCTATATATAATATGATAAAATATTGAACCGTAAAATGTGAAAGAGCTTTTCTTATATTAGGTATTGCGAGCGATATTCTCAGTCGTACAGCGTACATTTTCATCTGCATAGCTATGTATGTTTTCAATACATAACGTACCAGTGAGTTGTACAAAAAAAGGTATCGACTCGTTATATATAATAGCTGATAGTAATTTGGGTGTTGGGTTTCTCATATCTGAAGTGTGGGGTGAGCATCTTTAATGAGATGAATGTTGTTTTGTCAAAACACAAACTCGCGAAACCATATACATACATGTATTTGGTAACAATAAGGAAACTTTTACTGCCGGAGTTTTTTTTATAATTCTAGGGTTGGCAGTTTACATTTACAGAATCAAGTAAAGAATGTACTTTTGAAAACCACTACGATAATGTCTGATTTAAATTTTAGTACAAAAGCCGCCAACTCGAAGAGTCCTCGAGGGAATAACTCTTTGTTCAAAGCCTTACAGGAGACAAACCAACGTCTTAAATTAGAGTTTATTTATTAAATTATAGAACAAACTGCCACGAGGCGCAGTGGTGAAAGGAATACTTATTAGTTCTTTGATAAATCTAGGTTAACTTAGAACGTGTCTCACAGAAGAATGCTCTTTTATTGTTCTCGAAGCACAACCTGATAATTGTTTTATGATGCTGGTTGGAGAAGTCTTTTTAAAGAGTCAAAGCCGTTTCATCAGATTCTGCGCGAACCACTCACTATGGAGCTAACGCAGCACGAATGAATGCGGCTATTAAGTTACAAATTTTGCAAATAATTTATGCGAGCATTTAGATATTAATAAAATACATTAAAAAAACTAATTTGATTCATTAGTAATATCACTTTACCTTAATCCATTGAACAATTGCTTAGATTTTTCAAGCAGATGGCAGAATTCAATGATGATTTTCCGTTCGTTTGAATTGAGATTATTCATCTTGGTGACCGCGCAGTCCGAGGGGTCCGGCAGCTCTGTTTTGGTCTCTTTAAGCTTTTTGACTTGCACCCGTTCTTCTCCGACTTTTGGGAACTCGAACTCGATTTCCGAGTCCGAAGAATTTGGAGAATCAAGTTCGAGTAAATTTTTCAATTTTGCTTTCTTCCTACTATCGCTTCTCCTCGTTTTCTTCTTAACATTACGCTGGAAAGCGTCTGAACTTGTTAAGTTTTTATTTGGGGGGCGCGAATCAAAAAAATGTTCCTCGTCTGCGAATCTGAGTTTTTGCCGCCGAGTCCGAGATTTGTCTCTGCGTGCCGATTCCGAGTCTGGTGCCGGTGATGTTGGCGTATTGGGTCTCTGCGGCAAGCTCGACAGACTCTCAGGATCACTGCTTCCCGTATAAACTGGTTGAGATCTGGCAATATCTCTTCCGTATGGGATTTTTAAGATTTTCTTTAGATTTCCGAATGTTTTTGGAGATGCACTTCGACGTTCTTCAGTCTCATATTCTATCTGGGGCTTGGATGAGTCACTTTTGTTGTTTTGTTGTCGTGGTTCAGCTTTGATGTTCCTGGTTTCTGTGTTTGCGCTAGAAGGTCCGGCTTCATCTACACGGTAGGTGACTTCGCGAATATCATCACGTAGCTGAATTTCCTGCTCCCACTTTTCTTGTAGTGCTCTTCTCTCGGCTTCCGCAGAATAAGTTCGAGGGTACCTTTGGAACTGTTCAAAAGTGTCATCACCCCAACCTGGCGGAAAGGAAAAGTATTCTTCAGTTCTCCAAGTTGGACTATACTTATGCCTTTCGCTTGGGCACGATTGAAACCTTTTGTGCAACTTGTCTCGTTCTGTAAAAAGAAAAAGTATATTAGAATTAGTTATCAATGAAAAAATTATGTTACAACCATTTTTGAAAAAAGGCACTAATGTAAACACAATATGTTAAATTCATTTGTAAATCCGATCAACACTATTGCCAAAAAGGTATCAAACATTTTAATTTTATTCAATAATTAAACACTTAAATAAGCTTTTGCAATTAATTTCGGTTAAACGTGTTTCTCTTATGTATGTATGTAAATGGTAACTTTTAAAACATCCATTAGTTTTGTTCCATTAAAATATTAAACCTAAGATATAGTATTTATTATAATCTTAATTTTTAGAAATATATGAATATTTAATACTCAAATTAATCACGACTATCGTATCGAAAATCGCATCATGTTACTGGGACGGCCAGCGATCTAGTTCTAGCTAAGCTAAAGAAGAAGAAGAAATTCTAGAAGGAGATGCAGAATTTCTAGAGAAGCTAAAGTACTTACACTCAAAACATAATACTTGAAAAGGAAGTTATTATGATCTTTTTCTTTTTTTTTTTTTATTGCTTAGATGGGTGGACGAGCTCACAGCCCACCTGGTGTTAAGTGGTTACTGGAGCCCATAGACATCCACAACGTAAATGCGCCACCCACCTTGAGGTACAAGTTCTAAGGTCTCAAGGATAGTAACGACAGCTGCCCTACCTTCAAGCCGAAACGCATTACTGCTTCACGGCTAAAATAGGCAGGATGATAGTACCTACACGTGCGGACTTACAAGAGGTCCTACCACCAGTAATTACGCAAACAAATTATAATTTTGCGGGTTTGATTTTTATTACACGATGTTATTGCTTCACCGTGGAAGTCAATCGTGAACATTTGTTAAGTATGTATTTCATTACAAAAAAATTGGTACCCGCCTGCCGGATTCGAACACCGTTGCATCGCTAGATACGAATACACCGGACGTCTTATCCTTTAAGCCACGACGACTTAAGGCATATGAGGACATTCTAAGACTTGGAGCCAAAGTTTGTGCTTGACTTCTGCGAAACGATGAAGTTAAGCCGCCTATCGTCTATTTAAATGACCAGTGCAGAACGTTTTCAACTGCTCACTGTATATGGTAGGAGTAAATTGTGTGACACGGATTCACTAACATCGAAGGTATAGAAATATTGTTAAAGAACATATAGAAATTTGAAATTTTGCCTTATATCCTATATTAACTACTTTCAAGAGTGCCGTGTTCTGAATAAATAGTTCTTACTTGTTTTTGTCTTTTATCTCTTAACAATTATCTTGTTATCTATACGTTATATATCTATGTTGAGATAGAATTGAGAACAATAAATGAAGAACACCTGTGTGCATTGTGGGTCGGTAGCACTCTCTGTAATGAGATGTTTCGATCAAAAGGTCAATTGTCAGGCATTTAGTTCTCTCTCGAGATGAGCTACGGTATTCATGTTACACTGTCTACGGGCCCCGGTATCCGTTTCAGATCATGAGCTTGTAGCCTCCCTTTGATGAATATGAATGGATACATTCCAAGTTGTACCATTATTGTATGTGGTATTTGGTTTATCTATAAACCTATTACCTAGTACCTAGATATACCTAGTCTAAATAGATATTTGAATATAAAATGAATTTCACTAATAATGTGAATGGACTATCTGGCTTACTTACTTCTTATTGGGCATGTGCCTATTATACCAATCAGGTCATAAATTCTGTCACATGTTTAATGTAAAATAATTGAAACAAGTTTATTCATTATGTAACCATTCATATACCAAAATGAACTTAACAAAACATAGATTCCTATGACACTAAAGTTTATTCAAAATGACCTCCGTAATTTTGAATACAGGCCTTCAATCTGCGCGGCCAGTCGTCTATCGCAGCACGAACGAGGTCCATGTCAATATCGGCGGCTGCCTTAATCAAGGATGTCTTGAGTGACTCCAAATTGGGATGAGGCTTTGAGCACGCCTTTTCCTCCAAGTGTTGCCATATCTTGTAATCTAACGGATTCAAATCTGGACTGGAGGAGGGCCAGTCTTCGTGCCGGATGAAGTCGATTTCACGCGCCGCCAGCCAGTCTTGTGTGCTCTTCGCTCTATGAGCTGGCGCCGAATCTTGTTGGAATACCCAGTGCCTGTTATTGAACATGGTATGAGAAACAGGTTCCACAAGGTTCGTCAGGACTGTATTTTGATACACAACTGCATTCGTTTTTACACCTTTCTCACAAAAATGTACCTCTGTTAAGCCCCAATAAGAAACTCCCAACCATACCATGAGCGAGGATGGAAAATGACCTCGTTGGACACGCGGAATACGGTTGCTCGCTTCTTCATTACTGTGTGCGTACACCTTATCATTTTGTTTGTTGTAGCTCTCTTCTACGGTAAAAATTTTTTCATCCGAAAAAAGAATTTCCCGATATTTTTTCCCGCGTACCGCTTCAACAAAGCGCGGCATCTCTTCAGTCTCAGGTCCATTAGACGAGCATTCATACAATGTCCTGTTTTTCTTCGATATGCCCGAAGCCCTAAGTCTTCATTTAACACCCTTTTCACCGTGGTTCTACTTAACCCCATCTGAAGGGCCAACAGTTTCTGCTTACGTTTGGGATTTCTTTGAATTCGCGCCTTCACAGCTTTTATCACTGCTGGAATCCTAACAGACCGAGGGCAACCACTTCTTGACATGTCATCTACACTAGAGTCTTCATTGTATCGTTTGATGGTACGATAAACGAATCTTTTGATTATATTAAAATTATTCAGTATGTTAAAAATTTGAATTGGCGCGTAACCGCAACGATGCAACGCAATAACTGCAACACGGTCTTCTTTAAGCGTCCACTCCATATTTTAAAAATGAGTAAAATTCTAAAAGTATACATTTTTATTTTCATGAACAATTCGAAATTCGAATTCAATAAACTTTTTTGTGGCCAGCATTCTAAAAGAAAAGTTTTTACTGTGTGACAATACTCATGACCTGACTAGTTACTTATGATGCTCACGATGCGATACTTCAGAGAAAAGTTTCGACTATCGAAATTTTTATTTTTATTTTTTGTGGCTTAGATGGGTGGACGAGCTCACGGCCTACCTAGTGTTAAGTGGTTACCGAAGCCCATTGACATCTACAACGTAAATTCTGCCACCTACCTTGAGGTATGAGTTCTAAAGTTCTAAGTTTATACAGTACAATGGCTGCCCCACTTTTTAAATCGAAACGCATTACTGCTTCACGGCAGAAATAGACATTACGGTGTTGCCTACGACGGTGCTACCCACCCCTTCGGAATTACAAGACTTCCTACCACCAGTAATTTTTATTACACGATTTTATTCCTTCACCGTGAAAGTCAATCGTCAACATTGGTTAGGTACTTATTTCATTAGAAAAATTGATACTTGCCTGCGGGATTCGAACACAGTTGCATCTCTAGATACGAATGCACCGAACGACTTATCTTTTAGGCCACGGCGACTTAATTTTACTAAGATCGATGTTTCATGATAATGATGAAACAATTGTAACAGATACTAAAAATTTTTTCTCAATTCGCGTATCTCTGTACCTAAGAAAAGGAAAGACTAGCATATTTTTGAAAGGAATTAGGAATAAAATTTATGACTCGAATAGGTATTAAGAAAGAATTTTGGTGGTGAAATGAAAATGATTACATATGTACTATATAAGTTAACTATACAAGCAGATAAATAAAGTTAAATAAAGTTCTTATTGCTTTTGGAACATTTTTCGGTAATTTCTGTGCAGTTAAATAAATTAACGCCAATGAAAAATCGTTTTTTTTTCCACTGAATATATAAAAATGTTCTTTTTACGTTGAAACGGAAAAAACTATTCAACGCTTAGCCCAATTCATAAATAGGTGCGATCCGCAGTGCAATGTAGGTAAAGTGGCACGTCTGAGCAGAATTAGAAATATATCCAGGACTATGTAGTGCTATCTTTCTGCCATGTAGGATGTTTCAACAGCATCTACAACCTACAATAAATGTTTACGATTGACTTTCACGGTGAAGTAATAACATCGTGTAATAAAAAAATCAAACATGGAAAATTATTTGCGTAATTACTGGTGGTAGGACCTATTGTGAGTCCGCAAGGGTAGGTACCACCACCCTGCCTATTTCTGCCGTGAAGCAGTAATGCGTTTCGGCTTGAAGGGTGGAGCAGCCGTTGTGACTATACTGAGACCTTAGAACTATATCCCAAGGTGTGTGGCGCATTTACGTTGTAGATGTCTACGGGCTCCGGTAACCACTTAACACTAGGTGGGCCATAAGCTCATCCACCCATGTAAGCAATAAAAATAAAAAATAAATTATCCAATTCATAATGGCATCAGTTGTATATATCTAGTGCCCAAGAAATAAGATCATGAAATTTTAAACGTTGGCACAATCAAGACTAGGCTTTAACAAAAGTTAAAATGAAATTCAAGTGCATTCGCCTTATCAGGGCATCGCATTTCATGAAGGCGGTCAAACTTACGTAATATTTAAAAATATATATGTAAATAAAAATAAATAATATAGATAAATAATAAATGTATAGATGTAGTGAGAAATTATTTTCTTTCGGGAAAACTTGGCTCTTTATCGGAATACGATGACACCCGAACTGTCAATGAATGATCGTATTAAATGAGTGACATTTTCATGTCAATTAATATGGAACTTTATTGTTTAATGTCAAATGCCAATATGAATAATGTCATTGTACTGAAGCTATTTAAGAGAGCACGATAAATACGAACTTTTCCGAAAAATTACGAAGGAAAAAGCTTTTTTCACTATATGATAATAATAAATAATAATAGAAATCATTTATTGCCTTTCACATCACAGAAAATAAAATGAAATACAAATAAAAGAAAAGAAAAAAAAAGAGAAAAAGGCAAAAGGAGGTGGCTCAGCTATTGCTGTTCAAGGTTGATAAATCGAACAGCGCTGATTTTCAGTCACCCCCGTTTCCCTTTGGTTCTTTGCGGGAATGAAGGCTAATTACGTGTGTACATACTTAGAATATGGTATAAATTAGTAAAACTAGTAAATTATAAAAAATTAAGAAAAAAACAAAACAAAAATCAAATTAAATTGTGAGCCCGAATACAAAATATAATAAGCACGGAATAGATAAATGAGGTATATCTATAACTTACTTTGATAAGTTTTACGTCATTTTGAATTATAAAAGCGTTAGGCGCAAGTCGGGTGTCATTATGGCGGAAGGGCAGATTAATCTGTAGATTTGTCATTGTGGTATTGATAAATAAATACAATTTTATATTTATTTTAACATTTAATGAATGTATACTACTGGAATACGCGTACACTTTTTTTAATAGATTCAAATTGCGGAGTTATATTAAAACAATAAGCGCAGTGCTACTGTATAAATTATAGGCTATTAATGTTTTAATTAATATTAATGTACAAAAACATTGAATTTGAAAAAAAATATGTTGGAAAAAGTACAAAATACGAAGCTACTAAGAAATAAGTTGCGGCTTAATCACATATTCTACGTATGTATTCCTACTATTTAGCCTAACATGCTAAATGTTATTTACTCATTCTAAAGAATTAAAACTCTGCATTTAGTTTGATCAAAATCTTTTCTATCTTCATAATTATAACTTAATAGCTTAAAAACCTATTTGAAGAAATGTGCTATACTTTAAATACAATATTGTTGAGACTTCAGTTTGATCGAGAAAAGCATTTTTTAATGGTCAACATTTGATTTTAATAACAATATTGCTCCATATCATTAGTTAATGTGAATTATAACAGCCAAATGTAACTATAGCAAGAGGCCTGTGTTTCGTTTTGAATGTCTTAAGTAGATATCGTAGCATACGTTATTCTAGTCTAAGCTATCAGATTGATTTTTATTATATTCGGGAAAAGTTATATAATTATTAATATTAATACTATATAGAATATCTGGATTTATTTTTAAGAACGGTGAAGTGCGGGTTACTTCAGGCATTTTCGATATAGAAATTATGGTGTTATTGAAGGTTCCAGAAAACAAAAAGTGAAAACCGTTTCTCAGAACCCAATATCTTTCCAAAGGTGTGGCAATGATAAAGAATTCAGAAATTTCTCTCACTGTCAAAAACGAAAAAAACGACAATCGTAAGAAAATGATATTTAGAACATATTTTTTTATTTAAGAGAAACATACTGTATATTGTATATATTAAATATAATCAACACATTGTCACAAAAGAAGACTTCTAGAGACATAAGATTATTAGATTAAAAATGAAAATTGGATTATTTTTTAAACACGAATTAACGTATTATTTAATAATTGCTTAATTGCTTTGAATTAAAATCAATTAAGTTCGTTCGATTTAAGGAATCTATCGTCATATGTAGTCAAGCACGCCCTTCTTCAATAACTACTGTTTTTTTTGTTTTTTGCCGAAAATTAGTTTAATAAAAGATACCTAACTTTTTAAGAGCTCTAGAAGCAGCGAGACAAGGTGAAAAAACTAAGATTAACAATAGATACTTAAGCTATATTCGATACTTATTTTCGGGTTTTAGATGATATTATGATTTGAAAAATTGTAATTATATTAATAGTTCATACATGTGAACAGAGAATCACGTTTCCGAAACCTTACGAGCTTCAATATACGTTATTAAAATTACCCATTAACTCTTAGATGAGCGGGGATGTTTAGCTCAGTCGATGGTACGCGATTTCCAGAGCCAATAAGCCGTGGTTATTCCTTAAGACACGATTAGGTACCACCATCCTGACAATTTCTGCCCCAAAGCAGTCATACAGTCCCGTTTGAAGGATAAGACCGTTGTTCAATACAGTTGAGACTTCGATTTTCCACACTCAAGACTATCTTGGTAATGTAGTCAGTCAGTCACCAATTTGTGCAACTCAAACAGACGGAAGTCAAAGTCAGAAATAGGTAGTACGGAGGTGGTGGTGCTAGTCAAGTTTACTGGAAGTCATCAGATCTTGAAGTTGTTTTTTCTCTTTCTTAGCATTAAATTTACAGACAGAAATGAAATTTAATTTATAGATACATGTTTCAATAGATACATACATTCATTCCACATGAGGTGCCGCCTCGATATAAGTACTAAAAAAATCGGGTAAATTGTAATTTTAACATCGTTTTGAAAAAACCGTAATTAACTTTAGTCTAAATTAATTTTCATAAGTAGGATGGATCGCCGCTGAAGATTCTCGATTCGAACAATGAAGTATAGTCATTTTGATTAACGTAGTATTAAAATACAATTCTTTTTATTTAATGTTTAAATTAATGAAGTTCTTTTTTCCAATAACGGTACCACTTCGTGAATGTCCAGATGAATGAAGCCACTGACGCGAGACTTGCTGTTGGTAAACGCGATCCTTACATGTCACTAGTTTGATTCACTGTAAGTAAGCGTCATCTTAGAATGATATACTCGTTATAGAATACTAATTATAGAATAAATTCATATCACTAAATAATTTCTCGGAACGAGGATTTTTTCTTTAGTTAACAAGATGCTTTTGCTTTTGTAAATTGATTAATATTTAAAATTGATTAATATTTGATGTTTAATATTTAAAATTTATGTGAGAATGTAACCAGGCACCGAGCTTACTTTATCGCCTATCATATAAAAGACTTTTAGAAAGGTCATATTTTAACATGAATATTTAAACATACGTTGTTCGTTAGTCGTTTCCTTGTAACCTGTCTCTTTAGCAGCCGCAGTGTCTTGTTTTCTGGATGCTTCGCCGACCTTGACATAGACTTTTTCTTCTACGACCGTGTCTGGCTTCTTGGCGTTTTTCTTGAAATTAATCTGCAGCCTGTCGCTTCGACGAGGCTGCTGCTCTTGAACAGTCTGTGGTAAATTCCTCCCATCACAGAACTCGCGATTTTCATTTGGCGATTCACTCGTACCTTACGAAAAAACAAACAGGATTAAATAGTGCCCACGTGGACGGCCTGTAATAGACGGAAAATGTATTTCGGAAATTTCATAATATTTGTGGTTGATAATTTCATGACAGCAATCTGTTCATATTTGTTTGCTAGTGAGAGGAGTCAACTGCAAAACACGAAGTTACTAGCGCAGTGTGTGTACTACTTTGATAGTCGTAACAGAGGTCCAGCAACACGATATCGATGTACAAGCATGATAGTAAAAAAGAACAAATTTGAAGGCAGAAATACACAAGGAAGTTGCACAACGATATACTTACCGCATCTAAAGACGCGAGTTACCAAATTAGGTAGACAGCAGCTGGTCTTGCGCTCATTACTCCGGTCCCTATCTGCAACACGGGATATAAAGCCTCCTAAATCATATCAATGTTACGAACGTACGTGAGAATTGAAACACACTGCATAATAAATAAAACTTGTAAATTGAAAAAAGCCAATTTATGGTTTGCGATTACGAAAGCATTGAGCGTTTGTTTTATGTACTTGTGTTAGACCAATAACTATATATGTATATTAGTAGTAATGGTATTAGTAGTAATGGTAGTAGTAGTAATAGTAGTAGTAGTAATAGTAGTAGTAGTAGTAAGAGTAGTAGTAGTACTAGTATCAACAATCGCTATTAATCTTAATAGCGATTGTTAATACTAAGTCATGTAGCAACAAAATTATTATAATACTTCAAATACTATTCGTAAAGCAAATGAAAATGAGTCCTAAATTTGAATATAAGTTCTATAATATAGATTCACTTTTATTGTTATCCTAGTTAGTCCTAGAGTGTTCAGGAATACTTCACGCACAAAAGCGCCTTGTCATTACTATGCAAAAGTCGAAGAAAAATCCACTAAGCTATAAATTAATTTGGTGGATCTTATATCAGTTTTGAATAACTATTTTTAAATGCACACACTGAAAGAGTACTTTTATGATGTCTAAAAGCTTATGTTCGTCTTTGATTCGTCATTTAGAGACAAAAGGTTCATACAATTGTTCTGGAAAATGTGCTCAATCAAAACCGTTTCAACAAAACTAAAATAAATATATATGTACTGTATATATGTAATTATATAAAATACAATAATATGTATGTACGTAAATATGCATCTTTAACCATACTGTCGGATATCAATTGTCCGGCCGAGTTAATTATTTCAATTTGATTATTTCAAATTGGAATTGTTTTGATTTATCTCATCCCTGTACATCCATTCGATAATTATTAGAATAAGATTAATTTATATTAAAATTATAAATGTGAAAGCTTGTTTGTTTGTTACTTATTCAATCACGCAATAATAGTTGAATGGATCTGTATGGAATTTTGAACAAAGATCAGTTTAAGACCTAGATTAATATTTTTTTATTTTTTTTTTATTGCTTATATAGGTGGACGAGCTCACAGCCCACCTGGTGTTAAGTGGTTACTGGAGCCCATAGACATCTACGATGTAAATGCGCCACTCACCTTGAGATCAGTTCTAAGGTCTCAAATGTAGTTACAACGGCTGACCCACGCTTCAAACCGAAACGCATTACTGCTTCACGGCAGAAATAGGCGGGGTGGTGGTACCTACCCGCTCGGACTCACAAGAGGTACTACCACCAGTAGTAATATATAGTACTCTATATTATATTAGTCTAGATTATTTTATTACACCAAATCAAAGAACCCGGGAAATGCCGAGTATATCCGGTATAACAAATACATCGGAATTGAACCAAAACGGATAAAAGCGCATGGTACCATATATCAGCTCTTTTAGCTAATCTATAAATTGATAACCTCAACAGCACCATATTCTTCTATTTAAGTACCATATTGTCTTATTTTAAATTTTTTTTTCGTTAAGCAGCTATTGATTAAACCTTTGAGCTTTTTCTTCATAATGTTAAAACCGATAATATAATACAAAACATAAAATAAAACTTAACTTAAGGTGGTTATGATTGAAATTCGATTATTGGATGCATTTCAGCTTAAAAACTGTTCTAAATATAATTTCGTCGGGGATCTTCGACGAATTTAAAAAAAAATACAATACGAAATTGTATTAAATCGCTTTTACAAGAACTAGACTTTTAAGATTGCTATAAAAAAAATTAAAACAAATACTTACGAGTTATTCTTATTTATGAACATTAACTCATAAATAAAATCATTAAATTCTCTTCTAATGACGTTACGTGAGATTCTTCCAAAACTTTCATGAAAACCTTACAAAATACTAAACTTAAAAACATTCATTACCAATAAGACATTTCATTCAGCTTCGGAAAGCGTTAAAATTATATTATTTTATAGTTTTTTTAAATTTAATATTTAACTTGAACTTATTTGATTGTTTAAAATTTCAACTGCAGCACGGACAGAATATTGATTTAAATTCTGATGTGTTACAGCTCGCATGCAAATTCCTTAACTGACGTTTCGACATTTCGAATTAATAAATCAATTACAAACTTCAAATGCCGATTCGCGTAAAAATGGTGGTAGGACCTCTTGTGAGTCCGCGCGGGTAGGTACCACCACCCCGCCTATTTCTGCCGTGAAGCAGTAATGCATTTCGGTTTGAAGGGTGGGGCAGCCGTTGTAACTATACTTGAGATTTTAGAACTTATATCTCAAGGTGGGTGGCGCATTTACGTTCTAGATGTCTATGGGCTCCAGTAACCACTTAACATCAGGTGGGCTGTGAGCTCGTCCAACCATCTAAGCAATAAAAAATAATAATGGAACTCTCAAAAGTTACGATACGAAAAATTATGATACAAGACATCGAAAAGAAAATATTACTAGAACATTGAAAAACTTGATCACAAATTGTAACGGTCTCACAAGATGCCCTATTTCATCCTATTATCCTTTCTAAGGGAATTTCTGAATATTTTTCCTATCCTATTCCTAATTTCCTAGCATTAAATATTTTATGACTTCCAAAACGGACAATTTTAAATACAAAATGAGATTATCACGAATATCTACCCTTACCGAACAAGAAAATCCGAAATAAAATCGTATTTAGAGCCAAAACGCACGGAAGCCTAAAAATATGCACATCATGCTTTTCATAATGCTTTTTTTTTACTTAAATGATGTCAAACGCCATTTACGTGTTACAAACTGTTACAAACGTCTTAACAGTTAACATAACTATAACTCAATCGGTCATTTAACTGAATAACATGAATAACAAAACTTATAAATTTAGTAAACATTTAAATCGGTTGACCTTGTTATGAGTTGATCTTAGTATGAAATTTTATATTAAAACTAGCTGATCCGGCAAAGGTTGTTTTGAGAATTTCTAGTGTAGAAAAAAATAATTACTTATTGTAAGTGTGTAAGGATGTGGTAAATGAGTGAAAGAGGCATGTAGCGCTGTGAATATAAAAATAACAAAACCTCATTGAACTATATAATGCCGCGTTATAAAAAAAAAAAAATTGTCCAAGAAATAAAAAAGGGTGCGTGTACTTATGTACGCGCGTAAGAACTTATACTTTATTTTTATTAAATTTATTTCTTTTTTTTTATTTAAATTTTAATCAATAACATCCTCAAACACGCATATTGGACATCCCTTTTCTTGACATCGTATAAATTCGGTAATTCTCGGTACGATTCGGAAAGTTCACCTGGGCTATATTCAGACTCGCCAAGTTACGTCGGTCGTATTGTAATGAGCGATTTAGTGGGCAACTTCATTGTGTTAATTTTGTGTCAAGGTGCGCATCGTAAAATTTCACTCTCATCAATTTTTCATAACGCGCCTAAAGAAGTATAACTTCAAAAATAAATGTTAGGGGTGGACAACCCTTATCACTTAGGGGTATGAAAAATAGATAGTAGCCGATTCTCAGATATACTGAACATGCATATAAAATTTCATAAAAATTGGTCAAACCGTTTCAGAGGAGTATGGTAACTAACATTGTGACACGAGAGTTTTATATATAAGATTGTATGTTTTATTTCAGAACTGAACTGAAAAATGTTCTATGCATCTAAATGCGTTTGAAGTTAAGCCGACACGAGTGGGTGTCCTTTGTCGTGTTTTACCTGATGCATTTCAGTTTGAAAAGCAGAATTACCTTTTGTTCGAGTCCACATTTTGAACACACGCAAAAAAACTAAAGCGGTATGCGCGAATTGTTTAATTCTAGGTGATATTTCATGAGATCGAAATTTAGTTTAGTATTTAGTTTTGTTTTTCATTTCATTTTGAATCGTAATTACTAAATGATTTTCTATTTTGAAATTACGCTGTTCGATATTTTAGTTGCATTATCGCGGGCGTCTTGGAGCGCGGAGTCTACAACTACTCGAATTTTTATTATTATTTAATATTGACGAATAAACTCACGGCCCGCCTGTTGTTAAGTGATTACCAAGACTCACGAATGGCGTCCTAAATTTTATTAAAAAAAAACGGTTGTCCTTTCCTACCGTATTGCACGAATGCTTCTACCCGTTACTAAAATTAGCCCGTGGCGACAGCACACAAAAGCTTTCCGAAGCTATCCAATTAAAATAATGAAATATGTGTACGCCATATTTACTTTTCGCCCGTTTAAAATAATTGCATTTCGTCAAAAAAAACAATGAAATTTACGGAAAACTTAAATGAAAGTTGTCTGTTCGGTTATACGGTTACTACGCGATCAAAATTCTGGCGCCGACGAACTAATTGCATGTTTCTATTATTCATCGTAATAATTCGATAACATTCACATAGAGGTCGACAGATTTATGCGCTTTGATTTGATGGTAGGGACAAATGTTGCAAAGTACTGATAGGGGGGATTACTGATGGTAAGCCCGCTCCGACTTTCCTGTTAGAACGGTGGGAAAACCGGAATATAATCGAGACTTGGATCTCGTGTCACACTGTGATTAGCGGTATTGACGTTGTAGAATGTACGGATTCCGGTAACATTATAATTATTAGATTTCATATCACGAACCGACGGGTGTTAAGTGGTTACTGAAGAACAAGTTGAAATAAAATGAGTTTAGTAAAAAACTCCTTAAACAATAAACTATTAACAAATAAATTCATCACGCAAAATTTAAAATTAGCAACAGATAAAATAATCATAATTAGGTGAATTATTCTTGGAACGACAACTAACAATAAATCATAAAATTATTAAATTCAAGATAGAAAGTAATGAATAAAAACAGAATTCTTTTGAAACGAAAAATAATCAAAATCAAACTTACCACTTATATTGTCATATTCTCGCATAGCGGCCTCCTCCTCTTCCGGATCTTCGCGAATACTATAAAGATTCAAGTCAGTGGGCCGCTCTGAGGGATAAGAGTGAA